GCAGTCCACCCCATTTGATTGATTTGATTTGACTTGGTTTAGAGCGCTGTGCGGGCCGAAGGGGTCGCACTGAGCGGCTGAAATCGCATTAATTGGCCCTGGTTGCCACTTAAATGCAAAAAATACGTTTCGACTGTGACTCTAACTATGACTCTAACTATGACTCTAACTATGACTCTGACTGTGACTGTGACTGTGACTGTGCAATATTGCGGATTATTTGTATTGGATACGAAGGTGGCTCGTAAATGGGTCACTCAGCCATCGATAATAATGACAATACAAGTAATAATGCCCGGTCAAACACCACCAATGACCATTCTCAGTTATCGGTTCGTCATTCGCCATTGTGTGTCATTGAACGGTTCGTTCACTCGTCCATAACAAAAGTGATTGTGGACGAAGCGCACACATATAAATACTAGTATGTATGTAATAATACATACATTCATACATTTGGGCTAACGCAGGATAAGAAGACACCAACCACTGGCAGTGACAGTGGCAGTGGGAGTGGGAGTGGGACAGCCATCAACCATCGCTCAATTTAATTATTAACTTTGATGCATGCACACATTAATATACTTACACAGGTTGTACCTGGCAAAGCATTCAATACTTGTATTCTCTATTGCTTTATGAATTCATCAAATTTCAAAAACTGCTACTCTGCCACACTCGAAGCAGGCCACGAAAACCTTGGTAGCAGGCGATTGATTCTGTAGTCTGTAGTCTGTGAGCGGCAATCAAGTCCTTATATTTGTGGCATAATGTAATTAATAATCGTTTTTATTTACTTTTAATGTGATTTGTTAGTGATTTGAGGGCAGAAGTTGCTACCCACACACAGACATACATATGTACAAGTACATATTGTGTGCTCACTTGCCACAAATCAGTGTGCAAAGTTGAATATTTATGCACGCCTCCTGAGTGGCATTATCAAAATTGATTTAAAACAAGGCATGCAATTCATGGTCCTGGTCATGGTAAGCAGTCTTCAGCTTTAGGCAGCTTAGCTTAGCTGAGCTTAGTTCGCCAGCCCGTCTCCGTAGCTAACTTTTTTTAATCAAATTAAAGTGCATTATGTCCACTGTGCGACAACGGCTACGTGTCTTCTAAGGCAACGCACGCAACTACACGGTTATACAATTTGCGTGCAATAATGACAACAATGTCTCTGAGTGGGAGGGCACGAGGATAGGGACAAGTGGACTGTCAACGTTGCCGTGTTCTGGATGTTGCTATTGTTGTTGCTGTTGTTACTTTTGCTGTTGCTCTTGCTCTTGCTCTTGCTGTTGCTGTTGCTGTTGGTGGTTTGTTAGGCGACTTACTTAACTGACTGCGCCAGGGACTGGCATCGCTTTTATGCTGCAATCAATTTACACAACAATTTGCAGCTGAATTGGCCACCCATGCATACAAACAAACAACCGATCCTACAGACATACATACGAGTATGTGTGTACATATACATAAGCCGCCATCAATTGAAGTACACACACATACACATTGTGAGAAAGACAGACACACACACACACACACCCACACACATAGATAGCGTTGAGCAATATTGTCTGCGACGTTGTGTTGCTTTTATTGATAATGAATATGAATTGTTGTTCAAGTCCCTTCGATTGTTGTTGCTGCTGCTGCTGCTTCTGCTGCTGTGCTGCCATTGTTATTGCATTCATTGTTGCTGCTTTGCGTCACACTTTGGCAAAATGCAAATGAAACCAATGAAAGGACTTTGAAATAAGCGCATAGATTGTAAAACAGTACTGGCCATGGTGTGGCAATGTGGCGATGTGGCAATGTGGTAGTGTGGCAGCGGGAGAGTCAGCGACGACAGCAACCTAGTCGGCAGCGCACCGCAGGGCGTATGCGTAACATTACAGCCTTGTACGGGGATGTGTGTGTGTGTGTGTGTGTGTGCCATGGAAACAGAATTGCTGCAAGCACCAGAAGCAGAAGCAAAAAGTCGAATGGAATCGCTGTCGACACAGGCGATGTTTTTTCTGCATACGCGCAATCGGGATGTGCACAGGTTATGCTCATTAGCTGGAGCTTGTTATTGTTGTTGCTTGCTGTCCCCGATTTGAAAAGCATGCCAGTACACGTACAGACATCCATCCACTTCCATGCATCCATGAAAGTATGCTAAGTATGGCTTTTATTGCTATTATTATTTTAAGTAGACAGTCATTTGTAACTTGCTGCTCTATTTATGCTTTTGTGTCACAAACAAGTACGTATTACTTCAATTAGTTTAAGTAACCAAATTAAGTGCCCGTCCCCCATTTACTGCGTTATGCGGATTGCAATCCGATTGAGAAGTACAATTAAAGTACTACAAGTAAATAAGACATACTCAAGGTCCCCGCATTGCTCAGTCTCCAGCTCCATGAGCAGGTCAAAGAGTTCAAATACTTGTAAGCCAAGCTTCCACTCCGATGAAACGAATTGTTATCGAATGTGGCTATAATTGGTGGAGTATTGTTTTTCAACCATAACTGAATAAATTAGATTTTAACGTAAGTCTTCTCATTTCAGTTTGCACTTTTTTCTAGAAATTTTGCAATGGTTCCTTTGGACGTCCATGTTGCATCGAAACCAGATACTTATTTGCGCCAATAAATCGGTGCAAATAAATGAAAAGAATTTGCAAAAGTTTTCTTATAATGTAGTGTTTGATGGCAATATATTATCTGCTTGCGCAAATAAAAACTTTGCTGCTTTAAAATCAATGCCTTTGAAACTTGTAGCTTGAATATGGATTTAAAAAGTGGCTGCTCAGAAGGGGGCTGCACTTGCTTCAAATACGTCTGTTGGCGAAGGATGGCACTGGAATATATGACATTATAAAGGACACCAACTGTACTGGGCTGTGTATACAAAAGCAATTGAAGCAATACGAAGGAGAATAATAAATAAATAAATAGTCAGAGCTAACCACTTTTTAATAAATGTGTTTGCTAGTCTATGTGCTTTCAGCTCGAGTCGCCCAAATCGTTTAATTAGAAATTCTTTAGTCATGTGCAGCGCATTCTGACAAGCAAATTAATCAGCATTTTTTATAAATTTCTCATTTTCAGAAGAAAAGTGCAGTAAAGAAGAAGAAAAGAAAGCTAGCAGCAATTCTCGTCATTGCTAGATCCAATTAAAGTTCCATGTTGCTTTTGTTGTGATTAGTTCGTTTGTTATTTACATTTCTAGAATTGACATACTTCTCGTCAATTATATTTACATTCCCGCCTGCTCCCTAGTTTCCTGACACCTTCCCACATATACTCGCATTGTACATGCCCATGCATGTATTTTGAGATACAGTTGTGGCTCATATCGTAGGAGTGCAGTTCATTGCGAGTGGAAGCCGCCCATCCGTGGCGTTCTCACTACTCGTAAATTGAATAAAGGAGTTCTGGAGCCCGCTATTCATTGTCATTTGTGCTCATTGGCTTGGGCCCGCTATTCATGCACTAGTCAGCTGCTACCTAAAATTTGCATAGCCCACCCACACACACGTACATACATGCATACAAACATAGGTATATTTGCATACAAATATGGATGTGGGCGTGCGTGCGAGAGTGCGGAAGCAACAGGCACGCCCACGGCTAGTCCTCCATGACCATGTGTGGTGCCAAAGATTGCGCTGAAAGCGTCTATGGGCCGCCAATTAGCTTTGCGCCCATGTACCACCAATCGATGGCCAACCAAAATTGGCAGCTTGACCAAGCGCGGCGAAATAGGCAGCAGTTTGTTCAGCAACCTGGCAAATTATATTCGTGCATACATGCATGCAACGATAAGGGTTTGCTTGTGTGCGTGGGTATACCCGCACACATACACACACACGTACACGTGTGTGAGTGCACTGTGCACTGTGCACTAATTGGATGTTGGCCAAGTGCAAAATTGCAGGCCAAAACGGACAATGGCGTCTCATTTGGGGCTTCAGATCGCAGAAATTCATTAAGAGAAGGAAGAAAAGTAAGACCGCAGTCTCGGCCGCAATCGAGCTGCCACTGTTGTGGACGGCCACATGAAGAGAGCACACACGACCATAAAGACAATAATTGAATTCAAGGCAATCAATTGAACAATCAATCATGCAATCAATCAATCAATCAATCGATCAAGCAAGCAATTGTGCACTGCCGTCGCTGACAGCGATTTAAATGCATTTATGGCCATGCAATTTCCTCCTTTCTTGCTTTCATTCTTCCTTCATTTGTTTTATGTTTTTATTTTTTATTTTAAGCTCGACCCAATTTGCCTTGCCTTCCCCCTTGCTGCCACTTCGCTTCTGGCTGCCAAGCCCAGTTGACTTCCATGCAAAAGCAATTAGCTGATTATTACGCATACGCACTGTTGAACGCACATCACCGACAGCGGCTGTGCAATGACTTGACTCGACTCGACTCGCCTCGACCCAGCTCGACTCGACTCGACTCGACTTGACTTGACTTGCGACTATGAATGGCGACTGTGAGCGGCCAGCGAACTGATGATGAGTGCAGGCAGTTCTTGTAAGTGAAATGATATCATCAGCGGGATGCGTCAGAGCTGCCAGAGATTTGGGGTCGCCAGTGAGGTTGAATTCATTTCAGGCCTGTGATTTGTAATTCTCACAAAATTCTGCAATTTTATACCCACATATGCTGCTTCCTAAATACTTAACAGGCTTTAGTAATTCTTGAAAGTAAGAGTAGACTCCAAATTAATGATTTCGTATATTTTTACGAATGTTTCTGCACTTTAGAAAGTTGTATAACCGAATATTGTGTATATTCATTCGAATTTGTATCAAATGTGCAATTTTTCTTCTATGCCAAGCTATCATCCACTTATAAATTTGTAAGGATCACCGTTTTCGGAGCTTCATAGAACCAGAATTTTAAAACTTCATTCGATTTAGTTTATGTCGAAAAATAGCGCGCCTTTTGCTATCCTTCAGCAATTATACATACGATATTATAATACTAAGTTTAACTTACCCCTAGAATTCTTGGTCGATCGCACTTTATTTGTTCTCGAAGTCCAGCTTGAAACTGTTGCTAAAATTGTAGCTTCTTGCTTTGGATGGTGAAGTGAGTGTTTCCGGAAGGGAGCCCTTTTATTGCAATAGACTCTGAGCATGCACTGGCACGTGCGCACACATACACGCACACACACACATGCACACGCACACACACAGACGTTAAACTAGAGTTCTGAAGTTGTGACAGGCCGCTGGACGATGCCGTTGTTCCTTCGTTCGACGCTTCCTTCCCACTAGGAGTGTGCGCTTTTGTTTGAGCGTGTGTGTCTACGCTTGTGCGTATGTATGTATGTGTGTATGTATGTATGTTTGGATGTATGTATGTATGTGTCGCTGTATTGGCGTGGCGCGCAAAAAAAAAGACAAAGCGCCACTTTTGAATATTTGATATTGACGTGGACTGAAAAGTGAAGGGGGCTTTTTTGAAGAAAGGGGGTAAAAGCAACGTGAATTCGAGATTCCGAACGTGAGCGCGTATGCAGATGTTGTTGCCGTCGTTTTTCGTTACGATTTGCTGACGCTTTCCCCGCTTTTCCTTCTGCCCAGTTCAAGCTAAAATTGTTTCTTTTTTGCTTTTGTTTTTGTTTTTGCTGCTGTTGGCAATATCCAAATACAAGTTTATGCGCTGTTATCGTTGCTCCTGTTGTTGTTGTTGTTGCTGTTGTAGTTGTTGTTGTTGTGCGTGTGAAATTGTATGGAAATTCCTGCGCCTCAGTAATAATATGTAGCGCCTGTCGTTATGCTTTGAATTTTGTCACAACAACGCAAATGCGAAAATAAGTTAACACCCATGAGCACACACATACACACAGGCCAGTGGCGATAACTGTAAATTTTCAGCGCAGCTAACTGCGCGCTTCCTGTCGCTGCTTGGTTCTTGGTTCTCGGTGCTCGGAGCTCGTTCCTCGGCCTTAATTAATTTGTTAGCTTTTAATTTTGCGACAATTTTTCGTTTGAATGTTGCGCACAGCTTTGGTATTTCTTTTTATTTTATTGCCTTTTTGTATATTTCTGCTCCTATTTTTCTATTTCTCTACTTTTTTCACGTCCTGGGTCTTCTCTGAGTAAGAGAACGAGCGAGACAGAGAGAGAGAGAGAGAGAGAGAGAGACAGAGAGCGCGAGCGAGAGGGAATTGTCGGCGCTAACGTCAGCGTCGTCGCAATGCCGGATGTTGGTTTCAAACTGTTGGCAAATGAGTTTCCGCTTGCAAAGGAGGTTTCCTTTTGACTGTTAATTCTGTTGTTGCTGCTCGTGTTGTTGTTGTTGCTGTAGTTGTTGCTCTCCCTTTTGCTGACTCTCGTCGTTGTTGCTGTTGTTGTTGCTGTTGTTCATTTGCCGTTACAGTTAGCAAAAGTTTATTAATTTTCTGCGCCTTGACTCTCTTGCATTTTTGTTGTTGTTTTCGTTTCCACTTTATTTTTTCGCATAAATGCCAGCGCACATTTTATTTCTCTCTGTATGTGTGCTTGTGTGTGGGCCCAGTGTATGTGTGTGTGTGTGCGCGCGTGTGTGTGTGTGCGTGTAGTGAGTGTTTTTGATTTGTTGCTAAAGTTGCTGCCTCCGCAGCACAAATTTTCCTTACTCGTCGTTTCTTTGCTTGTGGCTTCTTTTCGTATTTATTTTTCCACTGCTTTTTTTTTGTTGTTTCTTTAGCTGGTTTTATTGTCTTTTCGTACTTTCTTTTGCGCCTCTTCTCCGTCAACTTTTGCGAATTTTGCGTTTGCTGTTTGCTTTGCTCTACAGTGTTGCAATTAAACTTTTATTTCAGTTCCTGCAAAGACAGGCAGAGCCAAAGAAAGAGAGAGAGAGAGAGAACAAACATTAGAAGAGGACAGAGAACATCTGAGCTACTGAGCGAGCCAAAGTGCTGAAGTCAATACAAATTTGCAGAATATAAATGGCGAATATACTAAAGTTCTTACATATGTAAGAAGTATCAGGTTATCAGTTACTTAACGCAGAATTCAAACTACATTTAAAAAAATCAATAAGGAAAGGGGAATGCTATGAATGCTAATGTTGTGAATGAAAGAGTTTTTATAACAAGGCTCGATCGTTTTAGAAAATATGCATTTCATTTCAAATTTTAATTGCTTTACTGTAACAACATTGTTCAAATATTTAGATAGATAGCGAAGAGAAAACAGAAAAATCTTAACAGGCGTTTTGTTCTTCCGCCGTAGGGGAGGCGTTTATTTACTACATATTGGTTTTACTAAAGTGGAGTCTTCTAGTTCTGTGGCTTAGTTCCAATTATAATAATATTCAAACGATGCAATTGCTGTTTGGTGTTGGCTAACAAGCTGACTTAATTCAGATTACAACATGCGTTTACGTGCCATTGACGTCGCTTTTTCTGCCTGCCTGCCAGCCAGCCTGCCAGCGTACAAGCTGTTTTCTTGCCAATAAGTTCACGCACACCCCACATTACATACAATTATTCATAAATGCAGCATACACTTAGACGTGTATATACACGTCTATGATATATATATACATAAGTATACAGTAAACAGGGTACCGAACATTTGCTCACCCACTTGGTAATTAGCAAAAATCACGCCAACGATCGAAAGGCTGACTTTCAGAATCGAATGCCTTGCAAGTGCTGGCGCAGAATAGTGTTGTGGGTGTTAAACAATGTGCTTGAAATGCAAAAACTAATTACTGAATTCAAAAGTATATGTACGCCATGCCATTTGGCTCTTTGAAAGCGCGACACGCGCTCCACCCACGCGACTTTCTACTTTCGACTTTCGGGATTCGAGCTTTGCGCTTCCAGTTCTGACAATGGGAGACGCGAAATGCAGCCAGCGGCCATGGCCATCAATTGCTCATTGTTTTGGCTGCCAGCTGCTTGACATTGGCATTGTCATTAGTATACAGACAGCCCCTCCCTCCCCCACCCAACCCACACACACACACACACACACACACACACACACACACACATGCATTGTGTACGCAGATGAGCAGCCAAGTGGCTTTGCATAATTCGCAGCAACTTTAAACGCAGCTTTAGGCAATTAATGCGACGCAGCATCCAGGCCCACTTGCTTTCATCATTCACTGTTCCATGACTGTCGATTGGATTATGCATTCATGTCATTTAATCCCTTGCGAAAATGAAAATCAATCAATCCCGCTAATTAATCTGAATTCCCAACTTAAATCCTAAATCATCTAAGAAAGAGCGCCTGATACAAAATCCAGCCTCAGATATTCTTAAGCTCATGATGATAGTTTTTCAAAATATAGGTAACCCATTGTTAAATCACTCTCCACCTCTATATCAAGCCTATTATTGTCAAACACTCAAGATCCAATAACAGTCCACTCTCGCTTAAACTCGCCAACGCAGCGTTCTCTACATTTTGTTGCTTTGAAGGGCTTTTTAAAATATTTCTTAGCATTAAAAATCCTGGAATATTTGAATATATACAATAAATACAATAAAATCAAACCTTAGCAACAACATAACAAAACCGGTATATACCTCGCAACTGATAGAAGCGATTGTTATATTAATAAAGCATGTATCTATATAAGTAATGAGCTAAGTAAGTTCGCTAGCACTGGAATCTGCGGCAAGTGCCGTATCCCTGATGAAAAAGATGAACTCTAATGGCCAGAACTGAAAGAATTTCTTCCATTGTGTGCACATGCTTTTTCAAATCTTCGATTTTGTGCCTTTCGCCAATCGTAATGAAATAAGATCGGCTTTTCTTGAACGCCCTGACAAGTCACTTTAGGGCTTTTCCCCCCTCATTATATTTCGGATAAATGCGGTCCGTTCCGAGCCTCTTCTCTATGACTTGAATAATGTGCGATTGACAAATAGAAATACACTATAGGTGACACTTTGCAAAATATGTGAGAGACTAAACACGTAGTCATTGTTTTAGGCTTCATATCGAAGGGCTCAGATACATACTTTTATACTTTCAGTTATTCAGTTACACAAAGGCTTTGAAGCGCCCAACATCGAGTTTGTTTAATATTTTTTACGGAATTTCATTAATTTATTTTTATTTTTCATCACAACGATGTCGGCTTGCTCGCTCTTGAGCAGCACAGGCTTCAGTGATGGGAGCGATATGGAGAATAGCAGTAACAGAAGCGAGTTAAACACTAAGGCAAGTGGTAACGACGTTGCTGCCTAAAACTTAAAGCGGTTATGCCTCTTCATCTCTATCTACCCACGCAGAGTAATTCTAGATCTAGGCGCATCCGTGAAATAGCCGGTGACACAACGGATGAAGAATTGGCAGAAGGACCTACAGAAACGGTTTCATCGGAGGAATCAAAGGAATTAGTTTGGAAAGAGCTAAGAGGTGGGATCATGACAAAAATAAAAGGCCTGGGAAAAATGTTACGATCAGCATCCGGATGCATCAAGAAGAAGCCGCAACCAACTTGTGCGAGTCTAGGCAAGCCAAAACATGGATGTGTTAAATCGAAAAAGGCTCCACCAAACCGTAGAAAGAAACTAACACCGCCAAAGCGTCGACGTGCGGTGAAAAAAAGCTGCCGCCCAACGAAACCGAACAAAGCTCCGAAATGTAAGCCAATCACCAAGACGGCGAAGAAGAAGGCCCAAAAGCGCAAGCCAATCTGCAGAGCCAAAAAAGCGCCAAAAGCCAAGCCCCGCTGTGACTAAATGGCGAGATATTACATGTAAATGGGAAAACGAACTGGCAGATGAAGGACTTTGAAACCGTCATCTACTGCATCAGCAAGAAACCACAGATGGAATTTGAAATTCAAAACATAAACAACAATGATTACAAAATCTGGGGCATCCCCAAACGTTCACAAAAATTTGTTCACTCTCTGCACATCCGAATGCAACTGACTTGATCTATATTTGGCCAAATTCTCGTTCTCTTCTTGAAATCTACCATTAAATACGGAAGAAAAAGAAGCAATTTACCTTTATTTTAGGCACTATTCCAGCTAAGAGCTCTTCTAATAACCAAAAACTCATCTGTAAAATTTTCATTGTTCACGAGTAGCTTAGTTTGTTTTCCAAAGAATATGCTTTGCAAGAAATCAGACATATTTGGCAGTTAGTACCATCGTTGACTGTGTGTTTTCACATTTGTGGGCTAAAATTAGCAACAAGGGAAATTCCACTGAAGACCCAGTCAATAAATTGGGGAAATAATACATCAGGCAATGGCAAGAACAAAACAATTGTGTGCCTATTGGAATGAATCAGACGTTAGGCCGTCGGAGTGACATCTAACTCATCAGTTTGTGAAGTAACACCCACGGTACTATCTTTATGTTTATAGTTAATCAGTTGAAAACGTATTAGTATAGGAAATTAAATTAGCCAGGCCCACTGGATACCTTTAATATTTTATTACATTTTATTATTTGTACTTATACTTGAGAAAATTCATTGATTTAATCCCTTTTTTGTATCGAACAATTTGTAAAGTTTTGCGAAACTTTTTGGTGGTCTGGCAATAATACAATATTTCATAATTACTCCGCCTAAGTTCTTTAAAGCTATTTCCCCCATTATGTGCTGCTTAAATATGTGCGAGCATTCCTACCAACACACCTACATACATAGTACTTGTACATACTTGGAAGTGTATTTCGGCGCTGACAGCTGCTCTTTGTTGTTTTTGTTGTTGTTGTTGTTGCTTTTGCTACTGCTGCCGCATTTATGTTGTTGTTTATTTCTCTTCTATGCTTGTAAGCCTTTTTTCCCCCCCTTGCCCCTTGCCAGGCTGGTCGGGAGAGAGTTTGTTTGCAAGTGCTTTTGATTTGCCAGCAGCTGCTGCTCTACACTCACACACACACACAAGCACACACACACAAGCACACACACACACACACCACTGAGCAACTCCAAAGCAAAGTTGTGAAAAACAATAAAAGAGCAGATGAGGGAAAAAAACAAGAAAATGAAATGAACAGTCAACGCCGCGAAAATGTTCGCCGTTCGTAAAATGTAAAAACGCTGCCCACGCACAGTGGTCGACATTTAAAAAATATTCCACAATCAAATGAGCAAATACAGTGCTGAGGTGCGCCAATTGCCAATCATTCTAATTTGAAATCACAGTTTAGTTCATCAAACTAAGCAATTTACCTTCATGTTAATATTTTGATTTAATATCTTTAAGAAAGAATTTCTTTTGAATATATTTTAATGATATTACAGAAATATGCATATATTATATATATTTTTAATTACTTGTACATACTCTTTCATTGATTGTAATAGCTTAAGATCCTGGTAGCTATTCAAACCCTGTTAGCTGTAAGTTTTTAACTTTAAGCTAGCACTAAATAAATAAATAAATACAATGAAATTAGTTCGAATCGTAGGTAAGCTACCCCTACAAATTAGCCTCAGTTGATTAAGTCGCTTCGGTCGACTATACAGATGCTTGTTGAAGGTGTTATGCAAATAATATCTAGTTTTGGACAACTGTGCCGCGTCGTCATCGCCAACGCTGCCATCGCTTTTCAATTTTGTGTTGTCGATTTTCGATTTTCTATTTTGTAGCTCTTTTTGTGTTTTTGCTTTTCGTGCGATGACCGTTAAATAAATAAATAAAATATTGGGGCGTATATACAGCCAACTGGCAGCACCAGGCGAAACGTCCCCTCCCCACTTGCTGCCGCCCACCTCCTCTCTTTCAAATTCCTTTCGGTCGCAACTTTTGCCAGATCATTTCAATTGCTTTCTGTTTGTATTATGTGCTGTTCTTTCTGCCCCTGTACTTTCAACGATTTCGTTGGCCGCGTCGAGTCGAAATTATTAAGTTCCGCAAAATAAATAATTAGAAATTGCGAAACGCAACAACAACAGCAACAACAACAACAAGAGCAAGAGCAACAGCAATGTAAAATAATTAAAGTATGCCTACTCAACTGGCTGGCAGCCCAGACATTCTTCATTCTTAACCCATTCACTCCATGCTCGCACCATACTCGCACATTCCCACTACTGCCCCCCACAGTTGCTCCCAAGTTCCACACGAGCGCTAATTTATGCCTGACAGCCATCTCGACTAGGTCTTTTCTTAGTCTTTTCTCGATATCAAACGCCTGCATATTTGATATTTGATTTGCAATTTTCATTTCTCCGTTGCTTTTCTCCATTTCATTTGGTCTTGCGTTGTTGCCATTGCCATGGCTGTTGCCTGCCTGTGATGGCTGTTTTTCGGGCCACCTTTTTACCCCGCTATGCTTATTAAGTATGCGCCACGTTGGCGCTTTGAACTGGTGCCGCCACTCTTGCTTTTGCTTCTGCTTTTGCTCTTGCTTAGGTTTAGCATTAGCTTTTGATGTGGCGTTTGGGTGGCTGACTAACTAACTGACTGAATGCCGTATCAATGATTCATTTGTTAATGCATTGATTCACTCAGAGCATTGCTCAGGTGCTCAACAACAATAACAACAACGACAACAACGACAACAATTACAACAAGAAGAACAACAACAGCAGCGGGCAACGACAGCCAATCCCATTTTGTACTTTTCAATTAGACAGAAGTTCATTTTCATTACCGTTCCTCTGCAGCTTATCCTCTTTGCGCTCCTTTGTCAACCCACTTTATTGTGTATACTCTTTAATCTCAAAATATATGTATTATGTCTGTATGTATGTATGATGGTTGCAATGGATTCGGTGAGTGTTTAAACGGAATTCAGAAACATCTTATCAACATCGTATGCGAACTTTCTATGTGATGCAACTTCTAGCACCTTTTAATATGTCCTCTCTCAAGTTCTTTAGTTCTCTGACATCTCAACATATAATGATGTTATATTATTATATTTCAAAGCACTGTCTATGATGAAAGGCCTTTTCCACTTTGAATGGAAATGGTCCAACCAATACGTTATTCTTGCCAGTTCACAAATCAATATTTTTCGATTTTAAAAAGACACAGTTGCTATATACATATATTTGATTAGAGCCATATGTTAATGATAAGAAAATGAACAAAAATGAACACAGATTAAGAATAACAAACAAATCGATAGCAGAAGATCCTACACAGCTTCACGTTAACTCTTAATTGTAGAAAATGTTTAAAACACATAGACTTTTGTTTAAACTTCAAAACCGATTCAATTAGTAAAACGGTCCACATCGACTTTGTTGAAATTTTATATTTTTCCTCATTTTTTTTCTGTAGAAATGTCTGAGTACAGCGTTAGTAGTAGCGTAAAAGCCAGCGTGGATAGCGAGGTGGAACAGCATGAGGGCGAACCTGAGGTTAACTTAAAGGTAAGTGGAAAGAAACAACAGTGGTATTCAATCGACAGTGTGATCATCGATCATGTAATGGGATAATAAAATATTCACAGACACAACGCAAGGCCAAGCCTAAGCGTAAACCTGTCCGGGGAAAATTCGTGCAATCACCAGACGAAGAGTCAATTGGAAAAGTTCAACTAGCTCAATCAGGCGACACAACCACACAAGCTTGTGATAAAAGAAAAGTTACCATTAAAGAGAATGACAGAAGCCTAGACCAAAACCCAAGCCCAGCTTACGTATGGCGCAGGAAATGGCCGCCACGCCCGCCCTCTCCAATGCCAAAACATGGGTGTATTAAATCGAAAAAGCCGCCACAGAATCGTAAGAAGCCACCACCTCTAAAACGACGTGTGATGAGCAAGAAAGCGCCCAAAAGACGCACCACGAAACCAAAGAAAGCTAAGAAAGCTAAGAAAAGCAAACCAACTGCCGAGGCGGCGAAGAAGAAAGTTCTGAGAAGAAACTCGATTTGCAAGGTCACAAAGGCACCGAAAGCCAAGCCCCGAAGAAACTGAAATGTATCACAAGAGACGAAGATAATAACCTTTCTAAAAACCCGTCGTGGATAATCAAAATTCAGAAGTTTCCAGCAACATAAGAAAACAAAAAACACGAAATGGTACAAATTTAAAGTCTCCTCATATGTAGTCAATCATAAATTTAACTCAATATTTCTTTTTGTTAACATCAGCAACACAAGGCAACACAACACTGCTTAAAAATGGGCAGATCAATAAAATTTAAGAATACTAAGATACGATTGAAACTCAAAGTTGGGAGACATATCAGTGCAGAGATCTACAGGCAGGACAACCTGTTGGCCAATGTGTGGTAGACAGCAAGGGGACTATAGGGGAGTATACTTGTAGTATGGGCTAATACCATTTTAGCTGCCACTATCCAACACAAGCTGTGTGTGTGTGAATAAATTTAATGAAATTCGACCTAATAATTAACTGCACTTACGCTAATTGTTATCCCTGGAGGTCTTCTTTTCAATTTCCACCGAGTAGTGGAACTGAATTGAAAGGGATTACTTTTAGCTGAAAGTTCCATAGCACTGATGACGTTTCTCTTTTAATCCCTTCACATTTTCTTCGCTTTTACGTGGGGTCTTTTGTTGTTGTTGTTGTTGTTGCCAGCTCTATATTTGGATACTAAATGTAATTGAATCCATTCATTGTGCAAAAGCTGTCTTTGCATCAAGCATCGCATGCAGTGAACGTGGCAACCACAAAGCGCCCACAACCGCGATAGTCCCGTTCATCCAGCGACCATGAAGCGTCCAAAGAGTGGCATTAACGATGCCCCAGAATTTTCCAAGCCAAAGCCGAAGCCGAAGCCAAAGCCAACGCACCGCCTCCCCATACTTGGGTATCAAACAACAGAAATAACTTGGAAAATGTTTCTTCGATTGGCCGCCAGCCCACCATCAGCAAAATGTCGGAGCACATGCCGCTATATGTTCAACATTATGGCCGTGGCTGTCTCTTACCCATGCCCATGCCCATGCCCATGCCCATGCCCATGCCCATGCCCATGCCCATGCCCATGCCCATGCCCATGCCATACCCAACGCCTCCACCCTTGCCACGCCCATTCCCAAGCCCTTAACCAAAGCCCAGGCAAATCCTACGCAGCTTTTTGAAGCTTTGCAGTTTTTGCGATGCGTGCACTTTGCTTGCTATTTTTAGATGCATGCTAAAGTTGTGGGACTCACCGAGCGCCGTGGTAGCTCTGCCACAACAACAACAACAATAACAACAGCAACAGCAGCAACAACAACAACAACAACAAGAATAAGTAAATCGCAATAAGTAATGGAAGTGCAGCAAACAGTGGGAGGAATAGCACAGAAGTTGTACTTCAGTGACTACCGATGATAATAATAATAATAGCGTGCCATAAGTAATTGGTTTTGGTTTGAGGGAATCTCGCTTCGCCGCATTCCTCGAATATGCTCGCTCGCTGAAATATAATTTACACCTTGTCAGATGTTTCCGCTCCCGCAAAGCAGAAACACTTCTTAAGGCTTAAGCTCAACTAGAATGTTCAACTCGCGGAAACGAACGAAACTTTAGGCGAATGATTTTAGAATCGATTTGACAGCCTCCTTTATAGTTTTAATAAACCTGATCTGCTTATGGATAAGACAAGCTAGGTTGGCTAGCTGTTGTGGTTTCAAAGCAATCGGGCTTCGTATCGACGGATTCATTGATTAGATTGGGCCTGCCACGCCTTTTTCCTCTTGCACACATTTCTAAGATACTTTCTAAAAGAACTTTGGAAGTTCATATGTACAAGTATTCCAGTTTCGCCAAAGAAGTAATTTCAAATTACAGTAATACGAATTGGGAATTTTTAAATTCTTCATCAACCAAAATGTATTTTCCAACACTTGAACTTAGTATTATGAAGTGCTTGACACTTAATTGGCAATCACCTAATAATGAAATTAATTTAACACACTTTTGCAAAAGCATTGGTAAAAGTGAGGTTCAGATAAACTGATCAAAATATTATTGAATATATAAAATACCCCGATTCTCATTTTATATACATATGTATGTATCAATGTTAAATCGGGCATGTTGTAGAAATTGTGAGCCCATTGGCTAAATTATTTATTTCAAAAAAAAAACTAAAAAGTTAAATGGAGGGAATGGAATTGCAAGTGAGATTGGAGCTAGCTATTGGGGCAATTTCGTAAATATGTATGTATATTATTGCATTCCATCCCACTGTGCTGTGCGTCCTTTTTCCTGTTTGTCTACGCAAAAGCTCCTGGACATCAGCTTTAATATTTACTTGTCCGCCTGCGTACTTGCGTGCGTGCCTGCCAGCCTGCCAGCCTGCCAGGCTGCCTTCCCAGGGAGCGGGAGGGTGGGCGAAAGGGGTCTGATGGCTAAGCTGCAGAAGCGCATTTTACCTTTTGCGAGTTTTCTCGCAAAATGCGCATAAACAAGCGCAAATATTTTAATAATGAAAAATGCCAAAGCGGTTGTTGCGGCTCCCGTCAGCGAACGAGCCAGCAACGCCGACGGGCGAAGCAGCGACTGAGACAGCGGCTCAACATTGACGGTGACGCTGACGGTGACGCTGACGGTGATGGTGATGGTGACGTTGATGTGGATATGGATATGGATATGGACATGAGTGTGGATAATGATACTGATGTTGACGTAGGTAGCCCCAGAAGCCCAGGCAACAGCAGCGGCAGCGGCAGCGGCATCAAATGCTATGCAGCATGCAGCGAGCAGTGAGCAGTGAGTGGCGAGCATGTGGGTGGGTGACGGCGTTTCCATCCATCCATAGGTACTAGGTATGCGAATATGGGGATTTCCTGATATGCGGCTACGTGGGCTGCCATTGAATGCGCCTTAAGTTCAACCTGTGCACCTGATTAGGAGCAGGAGTTTGACGTAATAATCGGCATTACTTAATATGCAGGCTGTATGCATCGAAACACATTCAACAGAGTGCAGAGGCCACCAAGATAGGTGGTGGGTGACTGGGTGACGGGGCTCCAAGGATGTGCGGCTTTGTCGGTCGTCACATAAGTGTTCTGTGTTCTCTTTTATGGTCAACTAATTACACCAACAATGCACACGCATCCGTTATTTCATTCATGTTGAAGCTCGCAATTAGTTATGGAAAAGAAACCCACGCGCGGCAACCGTACAACAAACATACACAGCTTATTCATATATGTATGTACTTGTATGTATAGTGTATAGTATAGTGCTCGTAGAAGGCCCTGTCCTGCATATTGCATTGAGTGGCCAGAGGCAGTCATTTGAATGTCAATTCGTAGAAATTTGAAATTTGTTTGTAAATTGAAGTAAGTCCACTTTTTGATTGCAATTCCTGGGAACATGGACATCATCATAGTCAGTGAATAGCAAACTTAGGGCCTCCTGATTTTGCTGATATTGCGCATTCGCAGCGTAGGCCGCACTAATATATATTTGTTTGTTTGCAAGTTACGTCGATATTATTCAATATAAGCACTGCTTCGCTTACGTCAAAGGCTTTTAAATAGAAATGCTGACCACTCTAGAAGTCCCTCAAATGCATTTCGCTTCAATTAGTTTTCCAATTGTGAATACTTAGGCTCTGATGCAGCTTAGACATGAATGTTAAATGGAGGGGGGAGTAAGCATTTCATAGTCGTAATGCCTTAAGCAACATTAAATGTCCCTAATTCCGCAACTATTGTCAAATATATTTCAGTTTACGCAATTGTGATTAGGGGATGTGGGGATGATTTCTAGGCCGTTTAGGCGTCTATTCATCAAAAAAATAGTTGGCCCCATATGTTATTTGTTGCGGTCGCTTTGTAAATATTGTAAGAGCCATTACTTTAGTTTTTATTTATGAATATGCGATGTAAGAGCAACGTTCCAGTGTTGTATTAAATTGAGGAACTCGAGTTAAATAATAACATTTACGATCCTTACATCTGTTGCCGTCGAAACACAACAGTTTTATAAATAATGCACACACACTTGTACATTTTAACTTGGCTTTTTCTTCTCGGCCCATCCCAGGCCAAGAGCGATCATGTGCCGTCTGAGTAATTACGCAAAATGCGCCAATTCCATATAAACAAAGCGAATCAGTTGAACAGAGACCGATGGGGGCGGGCATTCAAACATTCGGGCAATCGTCAGTGAGTCAGTCAAGCAGTCAAGCAGTCACCCAGTCAACCAGTCAGGCAGTCAACCAGTCAGGCAGTCAGGCATCAGCAGGCCGACGACTTATACAAACAAACAAACAAACATGCATATGCATGTGTGTTTCTGTAAGTTGTGTATACATATACTTTGTATATGAAAACAATTCCCCATGTACGAATGCGAGCACATACTCTACATATGGCAGATACATACATACATACAGACTAGAGTTGGGCACGGGCCGTGTTTTTTGTCGTGGCACTTCGTGCCACGCGTGGGCCCGCGTGTTCGTGTTGTAAGTTCCGATTTCGTGCGTGGCCGTGCGTGGCCGTGCGTGTTCGTGTTGAGCCAAAAAGGCACGACAAAACACGCACGAGGAAACACGAAAGAACACTAAAATCAGAAAACAAAGCACCCAATAGTCAACACGACTTTTCTGAATTTTTGGACACTAATAATTCAAAAAAAAAATTAAATTGGACAGGTCAAGAATGGTATATTGAATGGGATATTGAAATAGATGACTATATAAGTAGTGTAGTTGATCCAGGAATTTGTGTGCTAACATTCTGGAAAAAAACAACAAAATGTAAAATGCTACGGCAATTATCAAGGCATATACTCAATATCCCTGTCAGCTCTGCAACAAGCGAACGAGTTTTTTCCACTTCTGGACATATTTTAAATGAGCGACGTACTCGGCTTCTTAGCTCAAATATTGATAAGATAATCTTTCTGAATAAAAATTTGTAATGTTTATATATATATATATTTTTTTTTTAATTTTTATATTTAATATATAAAAAGTTCGTGTTGGGCCGTGTTGGGCCGTGTTAAGAAAAATTTTCGTCGTGCGTGCGCGTGCGTGTTTCTAAAAGTTAATTTCGTGGCCGTGTCGTGTCGGGCCGAAAATAGCCGGCCCGTGCCCATCTCTAATACAGACATACATATATATACTTAGGTACGAGTGCGAGTATAGTATATAAGTGGTACACGCACAGAAACAAAAGATAAACAATAATAGCAACATCGGCGGCAGTGGCTGGCGGCCGCTTATCAACAAACAAATACACACATT